GGAATGCAGAGTTTTTTAAAAATCTAAGTATGTTCATTTTTGTAGTTTTCTGATTATAAGCAAATGTAATACAAAGTTAGATGACATTAGGCTTCCCTGGTGGTGCAGTGGTTGGGGGTCCGCCTGCCGATGCAGGGGACGTAGGTTCGTGCCCCGGAGCGGCTGGGCCCATGAGCCATGGCCGCTGAGCCTGCGCGTCCGGAGCCTGTGCTCCGCAACAGTGAGAGGCCCACATACCGCAAAAAAAAACCCCAAACCAAAACAAAACAAAACAAAAAAAAGTTTGGTGCATATTTCTCCAACTTTATCTCCTCCTATACATAAATATGTATATATGTATAGACACACACGGAGCTCCCCTGTTGCTGGATTTGTGGGATTTTCTGTTTTCTCAAACCAGAAGGAGCATTCAAAGCAGTGTTTCAGGTCAAGGGGTACAAAAGTTTCCAAACTTAACAGCCATTCCTAAACTGCCTTTCAAAAGGGTTGTTCCAATTTATACCACTGCCAAAAGTTTCTGAGTTATAATTCTTTTTCAAGCTATGTGTGAATGTTCACTTAGTCAGTGCTTAGATTCCATTTTGGTATTTTTTTTTTTTAACTTTTCATAAACTATTATTCTTTCAGTAAAGCACCTGTGGCAACACAATTGGAAAAAGAAATGGCAGAATTTCTTCTGTGCTAAAGACAATCAATACATATACTGAATTAATATTCTAATCTTTTCTTAAAACTCTAGTTAAGAGTTTTTGTGTGTGTGTGTCTGTGTGTGTGTGTGTGTGTGTGTGTGTGTGTGTGTGTGTGTGGTACGTGGGCCTCTCACTGTTGTGGCCTCTCCCGTTGCGGAGCACAGACTCCGGATGCACAGGCTCAGCGGCCATGGCTCACGGGCCCAGCCGCTCCGCGGCATGTGGGATCCTCCCGGACCGGGGCACGACCCCGTGTCCCCTGCATCGGCAGGCGGACTCTCAACCACTGCGCCACCAGGGAAGCCCAAGTTAAGAGTTTTAATGGCCGTGAGCCATGGCCGCTGAGCCTGCGTGTCCGGAGACTGTGTTCCGCAACGGGAGAGGCCACAACAGTGAGAGGCCCACATACCGCAAAAAAAGAAAAGAAAAGAAGAAAAAAAAGAAATGTACGGTTTAAAAATGTTGGTTAGAACTTCCCTGGTGGCGCAGTGGTTAGGAATCCACCTGTCAATGCGGGGGACACGGGTTCGAGTCCTGGTCCAGGAAGATCTCACATGCTGCGGAGCAACCAAGTCCATGGGGCCACAACTACTGAAGCCCACGCGACTAGAGTCCGTGCTCCTCAACAAGAGAAGCCACTGCAATGAGAAGCCCGCACGCTACAACGAAGAGTAGCCCCCGCTCGCCGCAACTAATGAAAGCCCGCGCGCAGCAATGAAGACCCAAGGCAGCCAAAAATAAAAATAAATAATTAACTAATTTTAAAAAATGTTGGTTAAATAGTAAGTATATTCTATGACGAGAAGTCATCTTATTGGTAAGAAGAACAGTTTATTGAAAGTTCAGTAACTCTTTTAGACTAAAACCGACTTGACATTTCAGAAAGTATATGGTCTTGACCTTGAAGTACCCTTATCCTGTCCCAACCTCCACATCGGTCCCTTTGCTAACACTCAGCTCTCAGAGGTAAGTCTTGCTTAGACACCCAGAGAGTTTCCCACAGCACAGATAACCAAGAAACCAAAACAAAAGTAAGAAAAAGTCAGAAAATTATTTCAGATATGCTGATTTCCATTTTAACTACTCTGAATTCTTTTAGATTCTGGGATTATGTTCTGGAGACAGATATACGTGTGTGTATGTGTGCATGTGTATAAATGTATAGATGTCTTTTGGTCAGAGTATGACTTAGTAAAGAAAAAACAAAATTTTAAAATATCAACCATCCCGGGATCTACCTCAGGGAAACAGGTTGAGAGCTAAACCGTCATGGCTACCGTCAAGTCAACTTTTTACTTCATCCAGCTGTTCGTTTTTCACCACTGATTTCTTTTCCAACCTCCATGTAGGGACCAAAGCCATTGCTTCCCTGCCTACTGTCCTCTCTTACTACACACTGTCTATGGCTGGGAGAGCTGATCTGACTATTCAGTTCTGATGAAAAGCAAATTAAATCATATTAAGAAGAAAGTTAAGGGGAAACAAAAGTTTGTGTATAAAGTACAAAAATAACTGATAGAAGATGTCAAATTCGATATATTCTTCAACTCCAGAACTCTACCCATGCTATATTTGAATGTAAAAACATAGGTAAAAATTTATACCATCAATGACTAGTTTACATACATCCTTAAATAGTGCTGATCGATAAACGCCTCCTGAATGAAGTGAATTACCTCCCATCCCAGTCCAGCAACAAAGTCTTCGTACGCTCGGCTTCCTCTTTCATTGGAAAGGATCGAGCACTTGTCTTCTTGGCCGTCAGCAACGTAAAACACGGCGATTTTGTGCGTTTCACGGCTGTAAATTTTTAGATTTAAAGGAGTTAGAATACTTATACACAAAATTTTGTTTTACTGCTGCCACCTCTGCTTCTAATATACAGCTTACACTTGCTGAGAACTTACAAGGGGTCAGGCACTGTTCCAAGAAGGCTCAACACACATCTCATCTATCCTTGCAGACGCCCTAATGAGACAGGTCTTATCATCACCTCCTCAGGGACACGGTGGAAAGGAGGCACAGAAAGTGACAGAAAAGCACTTGTAGCAAGCAGGACACCGGGAGCTGAGACAGGGCAGCCTGGGCTCCTGAGACCACTCTCTCAGAGGTATGATATACGAACAGCATGGAAGAGCACGTGGCTTGACTCTCCAAATTCTCTCCGACTTCGGTCAAAATACACCTTTGAAAGCGTTTCAGATAGACATCGGTTGTGAACAGATCCTTGTGACCACACATACTTTACTTCCCACACTTTGAGATAAGGAAACCGGGGAGCTCCCTGACTGGAACTGTAAAATTGGCCGAGACTTCGTGAGAAATGGAGACTAGGTCTTCAAAGCAGAACACACCTAGGTACTTTCTTTGTGAGGCGCGGCACCCACAGGGTGGGCAGCTGTCCAGGGAAACTTCTTTGGACATATAAACTGTTCGTCCACTTCCTCCACGATGGATCTGGGGCACTTTGCTGTTAAATCAGGTAAATGTGACACCATTTTGAGGAAAGCAGCCCTGCTTCTTAACCTTTTGTGCATCTAGCATGGTCCTTGGTGCACAGAAGTTGCTCAGTTAAAACTCTGTTGAATTGACCAGAGATACGATGATATAGTTGAACATGTCAATAACCATTTCTATAAAGTATGCACTAGAGTAAAGTGTCAAAGTCACTAGACCTACACCAAGCGATCTGGAGACAGTTCGGAGGCAAAGACACCGCTATTACTGGACCAGAGCTTTCATCAAGAACCATTCCGCAGCTCCATCACCCGAGACCTTGACTCCAGTCTCGTTCCATTCTTCTCCTGATTTCTACCATACAGCCTGGAAAAATGTCACGGGAAAAACTACCGAGCACTTAAAGAACATGGCAATGTTTCTGTTGCCTTATCGTTCAATACCCCAGCATCATAATCCGATTAGACATCAATGGTGGTGCAATCTGGGCTCTGTATTTGAACATATTCTCCAATAGCTCCTTCTGCAGGAATGTTATTTTTCTACTTAATTAGCAGGATGAATTGAAACTCAACTGGAAAGTCATGAAAATAAGTCAAGGAGGAGAGCACCTCCTTTTATTTGTCTATAGATATAGCTTTACTCACGCCCCCCGGGAATCTACACCAAATTACCACACTTAGAGGAGAAATTAGAAAACACAGAAAGGAAAGAGAAGAATTTAAAAAAAAAAAAAAAAAACACTAGCGGGCTTCCCTGGCGGCGCGGTGGTTGGGAGTCCGCCCGCCGATGCAGGGGACACGGGTTCGCGCCCCGGTCCGGGAGGATCCCGCGTGCCGCGGAGCGGCTGGGCCCGTGAGCCGCGGCCGCTGAGCCTGCGCGTCCGGAGCCTGTGCTCCGCGACGGGAGAGGCCACGGCAGCGAGAGGCCCGCGTACCGCAGAAAAGAACAAAAAAACCCCACAAATGTTCTTTGCTTCTATGTTGAAATCACAATTGTTACTGCTTCAGGATGCGTTTTTGCATACAAAGTGAGAAGCCTATCTTGTGTTCTGCCACTAATTTTTTCACTTAAAACATCTGTGAACACTTTTTTTAATTGTATAAAATATACATAACCGAAAAGTCACCATTTAAACCGTGTTGGAGTGTGAACATTTCTATACCGTGCGCTTGTATAACAACGCTACTAATAATGGTTGTGTAACATTCCGTTACATTAATATTCCATATCCTCAGTCCTTGCTATTGGACATTTAGGTTGCTTCCATTTGAAAGACGTTTTCACGTTATCTTTGGTATGTCCTTAAGATAAATTCATGGACATGGAGCCTCGGTCATTGCCCACTTTTAAGGCTTTTGAAGTGTACTGTCCTGCTGCCAGTGGGGAAGGCAGGTGTCCTGAAGGCCCTGACGGACACGCTGGTGGGGTGCTGCTCTCAGGGGAACAGATGTAGGGGGTGATGGATGCTAGTGGGCGGTGCTCTAGCAGAGACCTTGTGCTCTCAGCCTGTCGGAAAGCTTGTCCTCAGGCACATGGAGCCCAAAACTGTGACATCATTTCCTTCTAGACTGCAGGCAGGGCTGGCCAACAGTCTGGACTCCGACTAGCTTATTCTAAGAGCTGTAATCATGTGGGGGCTTGGGTGGTAAGAGAGGTCATAACCTATGAACTAAAAGACAGTCTCTTTCAACAAATGGAGAGAAAAGGATAGTCACTCAATTCCTTTCTGCAGCTCTGTCTATATATTTAAAAGTCCTCAGCATTTAATTTTTCTCTATTCTATACACTTGGCATACATAAAACAATCTCAGTTTATCTGAAATGATTTTGTTTGTTGTCCTTAAAGCCCAAGATTTTTACGTTGTAGCTGCTTACAGGTCCTCATCAACTCAATGTGGAGCAGAGCGAGCTCGGCCCGGTGACTGTGTGACTAGACTGATGGAGGTGTGAGCAAAGATGACCTTTAGCTGTAAACACTCATCAAATTTCACAGCCTCCAAATGTTAGCGCTGCAGAGAGCCTGGGAGGATGCAGACGCTGTGTCTGGCCTTATTAGAGCCAGGCTTTTGCAATGACAATCAGCAACATCAACAGCACTTCATATCCACAAGGTGCAGAGCCAGTGCTTGAAGGAGCAGGTAATTCAGGGGCACACGTACAGAAAAGCAACCATTTCCTCTTCCTCATTAGAACGCAGTTTTCTTTCTTATTAAGAATAGACCAGAATCGCTCAGTTTCCTTGTGCTGTCACATTAAAAAGCCAAACGAAGAAACACGACTGTAACTTTCACTTTACCATGCGGTGGCAAGAGGTGTTAATATTGAAAAGGGGAGCCTTCTTTAATTTGTATGTACGTTCATCACACTATTTACAGCTTTGCTAACTTCACAGTATACAAATCGTAGCTGTGAGGTGGTCTCTCCTTTTCCTAAGAACATGCTAAGCAGAAACTCTGCCTTGACAGCAGGGAAATAAATTGATGCCAGAAATACACAGCAACATCTTGACTGGAAGTTGAGGGCTGAGGTTATGTTCTTACCTGCTAACTTACTGGTAGGCGGGATCTCAGAGCTAAAGAGCCCTCAACTTATTTCTGGGGTTTTTTTCTAAAAAGAACCTTGAAAACACCCTTTACCATAAAGTAAGTGGATACCTTTTTAGATGTTGAGAAGACACTAAGTCCAGGAGTTGGGGTTTTAGGTGAAGGTTAATCAGGGGGGAGAGGACTTGCCGATCAGCTCTCCAAAGCCATATTACACTGCAACAGCCCTGCCAGGGAGCTACTCTGATTGTACCTCATGCAACTAAGGTGCATTAACACTCAACGAATTGGCCACAATCACAAGATACCAATGTCTTCGCTTAATACGAAGGAGCATGAAATAATTCAGCACACATTTGAAAAGCTGAGTTTGGAACCCAAGTGACTGCTTGTTTCCTACTGGAGGACAAGAGGGAAGGGGCAGTGAATCCCTGAGCCCTTCAGCAAAAATCCACCCCCCCCAAATTTCCACAGAGAACTCGGTCTCTTCCTCTGGAGAAAAAGCAGCACAACAACTATGAGGAAACTGAATGTGGGGAAGGACAGTGTGAGGAATAACGGCTTCAGGTTTTCTTCTCTAATGAGATGTCTAATGATGCTCCGAAAGGGAATACAAGAGGAGCAGGAAGCTATTTTTTTTTTAAATCAGTTTTTAAAAACTCAAGATTAAGGCAGCAGTGTATTCATTTCTTCCAAGCACCCATTATGTACCCGGTACAACACCAGCTCCGTACTAAGATGTTTTCGGAAGCACACATTTCCCCAGATCAAACACTGGTTGGAGCTCATCTTTGTAACTGCTTCTAAGATTGTACAGAAAAGAGGTAGATCTGAGATCTGACCTGCCTTGGAGAACGAGGTTTAGGGCTAGAGAGCACCTGATTACAGCACCGGGGTCTTAACCTTGCCTACCCCGCAGAGCAGAGACCACTGCACGCCGGCCCATGGAGTCAGACTCACAGGCTCCAAACCACGAGGTCTGTGACCTGGGCCGGCGGGACAAGAGGGGCTGCAGAGATGAAATGAGAACCAGTGTCCACTGGCTGGAAGGTTCTCAATCAAGGCAGAGGTTAGGGGACCTCTTCCTTGTGTAGCAAACACGTAAGTTTACTGCTCAGAGTAAAACTACCAAAGGTGTGGCCTGTGCAAATGCCACCAGCTGCCAGGTCTCTGCAGGGGCATCACTTCTGCAGCCATATCCGGCATCCCCCGCCCCCCCCCACACACACACACAAAGACAGACAGGAATAAGGTGGTTTGATATACTTTCACATACCACTGTCGGGAGTCCAGATTTTTTAGCTCTCTCAATAATTTTGAATTTTTCTTCAACAGATGGAAATTCTTCCTATAAAGGAAAAGGAATGGAAGAAAAGTCGTGTGATCACAGATCAATTTTGTCCTTTCCAATCAGTCAACGAACAAACCTACCTATTCATCCATCCGTCTACCCATCCACAACTACATGATTCACCAAAGATGTGCGGCCAAAGCCTATAGAATGAACTTCATTCTTAAGATATTCGAAGGCATCATGACTCCACTGCATCCGGTTACTGTCCAGGGACAACGGGTGGCTGTGGTCCATGAGTGTGTGACTTGTGTGTGTGCCTGTATCTCTGTTTCCACTGTCAGCTCTGCCGTGAGACTCTTCCCCATCTCTGCAGCTCGAACCCACCCCTTCCACAGAGTCTGCTCCACTGCCCCCTACTTCTGGATGGCCTGGCGGTTCTTCTAGAGGTCCTGAGTCACACTGTCTTTCATCAGAGTTGTATCGGGTACTATGGTACAGAAAAACCCGGACAAACTTTTTGGCCAACTCAATATTAAGTCTTCTCCCCTCACCAGAGCTAAGGAGAGACTGTGGCTTATTCATCTCTGTAGTCCACTGGCATCTTTAATGAAGACAGAAGCAACAATGGACAGAGCAGTAATTTAAACACACACAGAGTAAATGCTCGATACCCTTTAAAATACACAACAGATGTCTGGAATTCAATCTGTGCATCAGTACAGCCCAATTAATTTCATTTCTAGCTTTAATTTAGCAGCAGAAAATAAGCTATAAATCCTGAAATAGAGAAAAACCTCCACTTCTGTTCTGCTTCCCAAACCCGAAACTGGTAAGAACTGTCACACAAAAGTAATAAGACAGTCGAAGGTCTAGGGTGGATCGTTACCTTCTGTCCCAAGAATTCATTCCCAAGTCATCGAGCAGCAACCTGCAGAAGTAAAAGGCTCCCCGGGGCTCCACTGGTGATGGCGGCTCCTGGCTGGCAACCTTCATGGCCACGTCCAAGTCGCACCTCTGGACATACTCATCTTCCTGTGCGCTCTGGCGCAGGAGGATCTCGGTGATTTCCTTCTCTTGGGCACGGTTCATTCCACGTGGGGGTGGGGAAGGCTCGTTGAGATGGAGCTGTGACGGTAAAAGGCATTCGGGACTCGTGTGGCCAATGTTTTCAAGTAATTTGTTGAGGACGTCCTCCCCCTCCTCAGTCTGAGAAAGATCCCTCTGAGGTCCAGGTGTTTGGTGACGCCAGCCCGAGATCAGGAACGAGGGACTTCTGCCCTTTGGGGCTAAGCAGCCTTCCAGAGGTCCATGGAGCACCTTCCCGTCCCAGGAGTACTTCCCCGAGATGTCCCTCACGATCACTCTCACGTCCGAGGGGGCGCCCTCTGGCGACCCGCCGGGAGGACCCGCCGCGGGTGTCTGCAGGTAGGAGATGAGGGTGCTATCGTTGAACACAAACAACTGCAGGTTCGGGCTCCTGAACACGTCAGGGGAGAGCTCGGCAGCGTCGGCGTGTGTGTTGTCGTGGTGCTCACTGACCAAGCTGTGCAGCACGGCGGGGCCCCCGCGCAGGGGGAAGTGTCCCAGGTGGTTCACTAGGTGCGCCATCACCATGCGCGCAGTCAGCGGGATCAGCTCCATGCTCCTTCGCCTCCTCTCTGCCGACAGCAGGACGACAGCAGGACGGGGACACCGAGAGACAGTGGAGAATGAAAGTGAAAACGGACCACCACCGGATTGCAATCGGTCCCTAGCATGGTGGATTTTTTTTTTTTTTTAGTCTGGGGATTTTTCCACCCATTTTCTTTTTTTGACATTCATTCTACTTGAATTTAAAAGCACAAGTTAGATAGACGGCTGAAAGAACCAACTTACGTGAAGATCTCATTCGGAAAGGGATATTTAAAAACGTGTAGATACAGACATAAACCAGAGACAGATCCCGGTCCTGAAGGGGTGATAGTGCTAGGAGCTCCAGGAGGTGGACATCTGCCGTTGGAGAGGACGGCAGCGTGGAGGGCTGGGGGCTGGGGAGGTGGCCTCGCTCCCCTCAGTGGGTGACGGGAGACATTCATAAGGGATGAACTGAGCTTGGGACTGCTGAAATATATTTGAAGCAATTTGCTTTAGGATTACTGTGGCTATTTATGTTTTGCTGTGAGGTCGTTTTAAATATTTAACAGGATCTGATATATTAATAATTCATGGAATCACTTAGAAGGCTTTCACTGAATTTGTAGTTGATGATTAAATGCCCAGGAGCAACTAATTTATAAAATTTTTAAGACTTCAGATGTATAGAAGGACTTTGACGATATCATGTGAAAGGGGCCTGTGTGAAATGTTTGCGATATGAGGGAGCAGCAGATGAAATCCACAAGTAGGGACTGAAACGATTACTTAAGCCTGAGAGCAGTTAGGGAAATCTTAATCCACCAAATTTACAAGGGAACTGTGCATTAATCTAAGAACAGGTCAAAATAAAACCTTTTAATAAAAAGAAATCACTAGACATTTAAACAAACTAAGATTTCTACTTTGGGCGTAAAGGTTTAGGAAATACTTGATTTCTAAATTCACAGCATGAAAAATCAAATATTAATTAAAACATCAATAACTATAAATATGCTTTCTCATGCTAACCATCCTCCCTCTCAGACAGCAGAAATCTAACTGACTTATTTATACATCATCAGTATTATGATGTAAAAATCCTAGAAACGATCAAATCCTAGAACCTAGGAAAGTCTGTGTGATGAGTGAGAACCAGACTGTCCTCACTTTTCTTGGATTTCTTCTTAATTTTTTCTTTTTTGAGGAACGGGAAATCACCTGTGTTCAATAATGAAAAATAAAACGTCATTTAAAAATCGTAACTTTTTAGAAGCAGAGGAGGTCCTCTACATCTGTCTCTGAAATGAAATGCTTCTTCCCGACCCTCGGAAGTGTGCATGATTTCCATACAGCTGAGAAATTTAAACACCTCAACTCATTCCCTTGAAATCACAGTTATGAATGCCTTTGCTTTTGTGTCCATATTAACTTTTTCAAAAGTTACAGATGCTTTTTATTCATGCTTATCATCCCATATGAATACACGCTCCATCAGAAATGTTAATGCTCCAACAACAAAGGTGCGGCCAGCTGGGGGCTCAGAAGTCCATAATGTAAGACACTGCATGGTGATGACACGGTAGCACAGGCTACGAAACTAACAAGAAAGGTCCAACAGGATAAAGGCCATGGCAGAAAACAACAACTGGAAAAGCAACTTCCCTCTACTTTTACTTACATAGGTTGTACTTTCAATTTGCAGTAAATACAAATTTGTATTTTAATGAATGTGCTTGAATTCTACAATGGGAAATTAACCTGGAGTCACATTAATCAAGTCATAAACCATGACACACCCAATAAAAACCCCACATATCTTTGGTACTGAAAAGTAAGGAAGGGAGTATTTGTGAAATAAGAACTGTTCTTCCCTGGCAGACTTCAGCTGCATCAACTGCCCGGGGCTGCCCTGAAAAATAAAGAGGAAGTCTAGACTCCATCTATGAAAAAACAAGCTTGTGACTTCCAAAAAAGTATGCAAAAATGTATTCCAAATATTTATTTTATTTTTCTAAAATTAGAGATGAAATATAAAAACAGTAATGTTAGGTTGTCCTTTAACTTTCATTTTTTTAAAGCTCGTCCCTTCCCTTCTTTTTAAGCACTTAGGTATTAATGATGAGAAAAGTGAGCAGGTGTCATGACATTGATGGTTCCTCCCCAAGCTGGGCCAGCAGCCGCCTCAGCTGTAGGTGGTTGGGTCTCTCCCGCTTGTAACTCTATTTGAAAGTAGTAATTACATCAAATGTGGGAAATGGTCTATGAAAGAATCGTCTGAAAATAATACATAAAAATATAACATTGCTTATCAGAAACATTATCTGAGTAGAAATAGTGTGGTTATAAATGATGAATTAATGACACTGAATGAAAAAAAACCCCCTCAAATATGAGCACATTTTGTTTAACCTAAAATACCTATCTTTATTTTTCCTCTTCATTCTTAACAAGGATGTACTTACTTGGCAAGAGAGTCTGTGGGTGCTAGTATGTTTTTAAGCTTTGTTTTTTAGCTTAGCAAAAATGTTAGAGAATTTTAAAACTCCTTTGCCATAGAAGTTTAAACCTCATTTTGAATAACACAGAGCTGTGTTAGGACAAGTTTGCATAAGGTCCTGAGGTTTTCTGGAGAATGAATGGTCAAGTCAAAGAGTGTTGGACATTGAGAGAAAGTGGTACAAAAATTTAAATGTGCATTTTTAGGTTTATCCTTTTTCATTACCCTATTAATCTTCTGCCATTTTTCTATGAAGAGTCATAATCAGCAGTGAACCTATTTTTGGACTACAAGGTAGGAAATAGCAAAAATAAATAGATCAAAGGTCATTTTGCTGAAAAAAAAAATGTTTTGAATTTACAACTGTGGGAAAAAAATGTCAAGAAAAGATTGCAACTGGAAAGAACAGGGGACTCCAGAAAGAGACCCACAAATGACGAAGCAAACGGAGGGCAAAGGGGCAACATAACGTGACGAGGTGTCTCGTGCTGCCAGCCAGCAACACAGCCCCGATCAGTCTTCTGTCTCCACTACGCAAAACCCCGAGTGAAGAATTCGCTGTTCCAGGACTCTGTGGATAAACCTTAAATCCACATTCCACCTCTGTTACTTCTGACCTGTACACCCTTGGGAAAACGCCTTTGCCTTGGTCTGCTCGTCTATAAAAGGAGCTAAAATGAGGCCTCGCTCCCGACTGGCGCCCCACTCCCGTCCCCCACTCCCAGCCAGAAGCACACTCTGGACTCCGCAATCTTGCAAACACAGCCCTGGACCTGAACCCTCACTGGCTAATGCTGCTGTGTCCTTCCTCCCTTCCCAGGAGGCCCCACAGGGGACTGTCTTGGGGCTCCAAGCAGTCACGCCCCAGGTCACCTGCTCATGCTGTCTGGCTGCAGACCAACCACGCTGTGCAAAGTATTCAGCAAAACCCACCACCAAACACTGGGCTGGGAAATGAAACAGCTGCTGCTCTGGTCTCACCCTCCGCGAGCTTCTGGAAGCCCGTTGGTTCTTTGTCCATTTCCCTGACTTAGTTTTCCTGGTGACATGCCCTCGTTCCTTTTTCTTTAAGGAAGTTTTACCCGCAAGGTTCTGTTCTTAGGCCTAGGTTTTTAACTTGCAAAGTCCATAACATTTTCATGGATGATCTAACACTCTATATCCACGATTTTTTTTAAACTTTTTTTTTTTTTTTTTTTAGGCTGAACTGCAGAGACACATCATAATCACCAGAGTCCCTAGTTCATCTTAGGGTTCGCTTTATGAAGTGAATCGTGTTGCACGTTCTACGGGTTTGGACAATAGTATGATGACATAAAATCATTATAATGTCATACAAAGTATTTTCACCGCTCATAAAAACTTCTGTATTCTATGTATTCATCTCCCCTCCCCCGCAAACTCAGCATCGGCAGGCGGACTCTCAACCACCGCGCCACCCGGGAAGCCCCTTAACTTTTAATTTTTGAGACAATTGAAGATTCACACGCACTTATAAGAAATAATACAGAGAGAGCCCAGATATCCTTCACCCGAATGGTAACATCTTGAGTAACAACAGTATAATATCACATTTGTCACCGAAAGAATTCATCAGTCTTCAGAGTTCATTAGTTTTAGTGCATGTGTGTATGTGAGTCTAGGCATATAGATGGCATATACCACACATACAGATGACACATCCACATGCTGACTCATATTCCAAGGCCTAGAGACGGGCTCTTGTCATTTGGGGAGAAGGTGGTTAGGGAGGTAAGCACAGCCCCGAGGTCCTGACACACCCACATGTCTACGATGGGCCCTCCGCTGGGAGCAGGGTGGCCTCACACCATCCCTTTGTGATGCCCGCCTGGTCCCGATGCTCTACCAGCTCCTCGCGAAGTCAGCCCGTCCTTCCAAGTCTGGCTGAGGTCCTTCTCCGTGGGAAGGCCCTATGGTGCTGCCGGGCCACACACAAGTCCTTCTGCCTGGATCCTGTCGCCCCACCCCCCACCCCCCGCCACCATAAGATGAAAAGCTCCTTGGGGACAGAAAATGGACTGTGTTTGTGGGTTTGTGGGTCCCGTGGGTCCTCGATAATACAAAATTTAACTAAGATGGGAAAATAAAGGCAAGGAGAACAGAAAAAGAGGAAACGAGGAAGGAAGGACTTGCTATCACAGAGCACTCTAGAAACCTGGATTTCAACCACCGGATTCTTAAAAAGTAACACAGCGAGTATTAACAAATGGCTACCGTCTTTCCTTTTCCTGCCAACTGGGATGACTATGCTGAAGAATCTTACCCTCTTCGACAGTAAGCAGGTTGCCCAGTTCTGCTGATGAATGACATTGGACTGGCTCAGAATTCTTCACGTTTGCCAGTGGGAGGAAGGGGTCGTAATCCGCGGACGACAGGTCAGCCAGGGTCAGGGTGTAGCGGCTCTGCTGGGTGTACGTGCTTGAGCCGCAAACACAGCAGTGCAGAACCTGTGAAGCATGGAAGGGATTGTGTGCCAGGGATGCCCCCAACCTCCTGCCCCCTGACGACCTGTCAAACTACAACAGCACTTAGGAGATAACTGGGACCATTATACTTTTTCTTCCTTTGATAAACAGATTTTGTCCAACTAAGGCTGTGGATGTTCCTACAACAGAAACAGTTCTTTTCATAACGAAGCAGATACAGACCACGTCCCATGAACACTGGGGGATTCTGACCAAACTGCAGTTGTTTGACGATAACAGTCGGGTAAAATGCACGCATCGTGAACTGGGTAACCACTGCTTCTCTATAATAACTGTTCTGCTCTCACTCCTTAAGTCATTCATTTCTTTTAAAATGTTGGACCCCCATAAATCCTTGTCAAAAGGGCACAGGTAAGTATGTGAATGCCTAAAACCTGTTTTAGTGATTCTCTGACGCTGCAGTCCACGCTCTGTGCTCCGAGGCCTGGGGAAGACTCACCCTGTAGATGTAATCCAGCAAGGGGGTCCGGGCCGCGGGCTGCTCGTCCAGGGCCGCCGTGGACACGGGGTGGAGGAGGGTGCCCGCCGGCAGCGCCATGCACCAGTCCAGGAGGCAGAGCAGCAGGGACACGAGGAACTGGAAGACGAAGCAGACCCAGAGCCTCAGGCTGCAGCCTCGCAGACTCCACCCCAAGTGACAGCAAACCTTCAGTGAAGCAGAACCTTCCCAGCATCGCAGCCATTGTTCAGGGACACAGAAATGAATGACGTTTTCGCAGAGAGGCTGTTAGGGCCAGTCCTAACAGGGGATATTATAGATATCCTTGTTTTTTTTTAATTTTTATTTTTTGCGGTACGCGGGCCTCTCACTGTTGTGGCCTCTCCCGTTGCAGAGCACGGGCTCCGGATGCACAGGCTCAGCGGCCACCACGGGCCCAGCCGCTCCGCGGCAGCCCCTAACAGGGGATATTATAAAGGATAGCCCTGCATGCGATAGTATTTGCCACCTGTTTTATTACATTCTTCAAAAACAAACTCTAGAGGGCTTCCCTGGTGGCACAGTGGTTGAGAGTCCGCCTGCCGATGCAGGGGACACGGGTTCGTGCCCCGGTCCAGGAAGATCCCACATGCCGCGGAGCCGCTGGGCCCTTGAGCCATGGCCGCTGAGCCTGTGCGTCTGGAGCCTGTGCTCCGCAACGGGAGAGGCCACAGCAGTGAGAGGCCCGCGTACCGCAAAAAAAACAAAACAAAAAGAACCTCTAGAGATTGGGATTGACATATATACACTAATATGTATAAAATGGATAACTAGTAAGAACCTGCTGTATAAAAAAATAAATAAAATTCTAAAAAAGAAAAAAAAAAAAGAAGTGCCATTCTCTAAAAAAAACAAAAACAAACTCTAGGGAGGACTTGGCTGATGTGCCACTTACCTTCTTATCTGTTTCCACTGAGGAGTACTCTGCACTTGGTAAAAGAAAAGCAATTGTGGCCACAAGGATCTGCAGAGAAGACAAATTCCCAATCAAACAGACCCCAGTAACAGTTCTGGAAGCCGTGTGAAAGGAGGCCCAGGACGGCCTTGCCACTAAAGCCAGCCTGGTGCCAACTCCCAGAGGAAGGTGACATCAAGCGAAGAGTCACCTCAGAGATTTGTGTGACCTGAAAACCGGAAGGTGATGGCCATGCCTGTTTCCACTCTGCTGGCAGTGAAATCGGGGGCCCAGAGGAAGGAGTATTTATTTCTCTCTGCAGTCACACAATCTCCATTTTCCATCTCCACACTTCTCACGAGGAAAGCAACAAATACTTGCAAAAGCAATTCTGAAGATGCTCCCATTTACTTTTCTTATAAATTACCCCAGGTCTCCCCACACCTGCGGCTGCAGGGTAACAGCACCACTTTCATTCTCAAAGGTATTCCAGTTTAGGTGATAAATTATACGGTTGCCCTAAAACCCAACTTTACTTTTTGCAGCAGCTTATGTGCCTATCGTCCAAAGTTCTGTTTCACTCTAGGTCCCTTGAGGTTGAAAATCACTTGTGATTTCTGCTGTATCTCTGAGAGAACAAAGTGACCTCATGGGTGAAATTTGTCTAGGGCCGAGAGAAAATAAATCATATCCCTTCCTCTGCACTGGGTGTGTACAGAACAGGGCATGTTTAAAGAAGGGCAGCTACAAAACCTGGCAGGAACAGCCGAGCCTTACCAACCACACCTACAGGGTAAGGGTACCTGCCCCTGTGCAAGCCGGCACCTTCACGTGCCACTGACGTCCGGGGTGTTTTCGTGGAGAAGGTTCTTCCTGTTCCTCTTGCCCCCGTCCTCCACCAGTGACCCCACGGAGGGTATTACAGTCGTAATCTCATTACAGCCGGGTGATCACGCTATGGCAGAAAGCTTGGTCCGGGCCTTCGGTCTGGGAGAGGCTCCCATACCCCACTCCCGCCCACACACACAGGGCATCACAACCAGCTGCCGACTCCTTGTTGGCACCATCCAAATTACTCTGGATGAATGAAGCCCAATCGACAAAAGGTCTCTTTGTTGTGGTCGTGTTTGCCTTTCAAACTCCCCAAGTGTAAGGCTGCCCTGGAACACTGGTGGCTTCTTACGTGGTGCCTGAAATCGCAGCTGAGAAGAACCAGCACAATTTACTCTGAAAATGGGTGACTCACACGGCAGTTTAATGGTTGGTTCTCCAGCCATTATTTGAGTATCTAGAATTAATTAAATATCCAATGTAATAAAAGGGACACGCTGATGTTTGAGCATTATGGGAAAAAGACTTACTTCTGCAATTTTCCGAGGCAGAGAGGTTTCAAACATCTGAAGCTTTTCCCAGTAGGAAACCAGCAACTGAAGCACATCACAAGCTACCTGGGCCACGATTTTGTTAGGAAACTAGAAAAGGAAACAAAACCCCAAACGAAATAACCTCACTTCACGTGTGCAGTATTCCTAAAGAAGAACCCAGCAACGATTTCTTTGCAGCTCCATTTGGGGATCCGTGTCCCTGTTGTGCATTAAATATATGAAAAATCTATCTTATCACCAGACAGTTTGTATGCGGTCACCATCCTGTAACTGCCTTCTGTCCAGACTAGCTGTACTAATTTACATGACATTCTATAGAAACAAGTAGTTGTCATTTAATCATTTGGAAATTAAAAGCATAAATTCAAATGCCTTATTCAGATCACACAAATGATAGTTTTGCCGACTGGAGGAAACTGAAATGTAGTACATTATTGAGTACCCCCTGTGTACTGAACCTTTTATGAGAATTGTGCTCATTTTCGCCTTGATAACTCTTCATTAACAGCTCCATAAGGCAGTCGCTATCTTCATTTTACACTTGGAGAAACAAGGATTGATCAAAAGCTTTTCTATCCGATGAAATTAAACTTAACCTGCACATATGACATTCTAAGAAATGTGAAAAATGTGGAGCTAGGAGAACATAATTCAAAGTTATGGGATATTCAATTATTATTGTCTGTTTTCTGCGTCTGGCGTGTGTTCAGGGTCCTCTAGGTGCCCCTATTTCTTGGGAGATGGCACAGCAATGGGGCAGTTCTCGCAGGGACTGTGGGCTGGGGGTATGTGGGAGGGATAAGGATTCCCGGTGCTCCCTCCCTGGCCAGACCCTGGGCCACACTGCCATCCACACCCCATCATCTAGGGCAGAACGCTTTGTCACCAAATCTGTGTCCCTGTCTAGGGAGACCTCTGGACTTGCGTCTCAGCTATTTGCACCCCAGGAGCTCCAGGTTGCAGGAAGCAGATGCCAACTGACCAGAGGGCCACAAAAACAACAGAGGGAAGTCAACATTTAGCACCTCAGTGACAAATCACAGTATGAGAAGGGAAAGGTGGTCAGTTTTACTTCTACAGAACAGTTACTGACTGCTCCCCTCTTGACAGGCACAAGGAAACCTGGGCTGAGAGCATCTGCCCCAAGGGGCTCTGCACAGCCTCCTCCGGCCACCCAGATCTCTTGCCCCCTGACCCTCATGGCCTCTGTCCACTCCTCAAACACTCTGACTTATTTGTGCCCCAGGGCCTTTGCACCTGCTCCTTGCTCTGCCCGGGACACTCATTCCCCAGGTCTGCACTCGGCAGGTGCTGCCACATTTTTCAGATCACGCCTCAAGGTGTCATCTCCCCCATGAGGCCACCAAGCCTGTCCCGAGGCGTGGAGCCCACCCCCTCCAGCTCTTCCATTCCATCCTCCTCCCCTGCTGTAATTTCTGGACGGCATTAAGGGCTATCAGAGCTGATCCTCTGTGTTTGTTTGCTTGTTGTTTTGTGTGTTTATCTTCTTGCGTCTTATTCTCTGCCGTATTCCTAATGCTGAGCACAGCCCCAAGGAGGTCTGAGGGGACGTCGGAATGTGGAGGGAGAGGAAAAGTAAGAGTGGGCACTGGGGGCGTTTCTGCTGCATCCCACTGGTCGGGTCACATGGTAGAAACATAAGGTTGGCGTGGCTCTTGCATTATGGCCGGAGACAGACAAGGTGACAATGGTGAAATGAGGGCCATGGCAGACAAGAGGGCAGAGAGGGATGAGGCGTGAGAGGTGGGGGCAGATGACAGAGAGAAGCCACTGGGGCCGTGGGGGTGGGGAGAAGGGAGGGGGAGAGCTGCGCTGAGCCGGGAAGAACGTGGGGTAGGGCAGGGGCCAGTTTCCTTCCAGGCAGCGGGCCCAGGGCCCAGGGTGCAGGCACCAAGGCAAGAAGAGTCAAGAAGAGTCGCTATGGAGGGCTCGAGGGCAGTGGTGTTCCTGACATGTTGGAGGGCTGCGGGATGCGGGGATGAAACATATCACCCACTTGCTCACCAGCACATGCCCACGGGGTACCAACAATGCACCCGGCACTGAATGAGCAGCACAGAGGACAAGACGTACAGGGTGACACAGTCCCTGCTCTGAAGGAACTGGCAGCTTGGTGCAGCAGGCAGTGGCCCACTCACGGACGTCCCTCTCTGGCAGCAGCACGGAGGGCAGATCCGCAGGTCCAGGCTCGGGCCATGGGGGTAGGGGTGGGGGTGGGGGGGGGAGGCCGAGGGAGCCCGGGGAGGCCGAGGGAGCCAGCTGTGGGAGGGGGGCCCCAGGCAGCAGGCGGGAGTGATCGAAGGCCGTTCAGGACCCGGTGACCAGCACCATGGTGGTGAGGAAGGGAGAGTCGACCATGGCTCCTAAGATGGGCAAGAGAAGGACAGTGGGGCTGAGGGCAGGAACGCAGGGCCCGAGCCCGAGCCGGTGCTGCCACTCGCCCACGAGGACGCTGGAGTCTGTAAGTCTGGCTCTGGCTTAGCAGAGTCCCACCCCGCTGCCTACATGAGGTCCCACCCGCAGCAAACGAGTAGCCGAGTGGACTTTTCCAGAGGCTGCACAGCACTTTGTTCCCATCGCCATCATGGCCAGAGGCTGGTTTTTATCGATACCCCCTGGCGGGCGCTTCCCTAGCTTTGCTGCCCATGCCCTTCCCGTGCCCGAGGGGACACCTATGTCAACCTCGCCAAGTGCTCCTGGAGGGCATGGTTCCAGCAGAGCAGAGCCCGGAGACGGAGCCATGCAAAGCCCACAGGCATAACTCGTGCTCCCTACTGCCAACCGGGCAGCTAGGGCCGGGCCTCCTCCTCCCCCCCACCCCCACCCCGTTCCTTCTCCCCTCCCTTCCCCTCCCTCCCCCTCCCCTCCCCTGCGCTCTACTGGTAGAGCCCCAAGCCCCCTCAGGCCCTCTTCCCAGAGTGGCCGCTCACCGTCCCCCGTGTTCCTTGAGGCTGCTCTTTCCTCTCTGGCCCTCGGTTCTCTTATATTGATGTGCTCCCCCTTCCAACCAGCACAGCGACACAGGCACTGAAAGGTGAGGGAGCTGCCCCAGGGCCCAGAACTTCTGTCCAGGAGTTCTCCTCTGTTATTTACAATGTTTAAAGGGAGGCCAATCTGGCTGATCCTGGCCCTCTGATTTCTCAGCAATTCAAGCTGGAGCAGGTTCCTTGGCCTTCCCCTTAGTCGCCTTCTCTTTTATTTCTAAAATGGGGGAAGCAGCAGTGTCCAGAGGGGTGGCGGGATTCCATGGCTCACTCCGTGCACTGCGCTGGGACGCCCCTGAAAGGGCAAGGGCTCGACACGGCAGGTACATTCTCTTCTGCTGCCTTAATGTTTCTCCTCATAATTACAGAAATAGTAAAGAACTTTTTGAAAATTTACAGAAATACTAAGAAAAACCTGGCCCAGCATGAGGTGAGCACGCAGCACATGGCAGCTCTTCTTACTAACAAAGCCAAGGAAAAAAGACATCCATCCTCAAAGCGCCCAAGGCCCCACTGACGTGAAGCACTCAGGCTGTTGCCCAGGAGCTGTCCGGTCTCTCCCGGTCCTGCCGAGGAGGCCAGGGCACGAAACCCCACTTTCTTGTCACTCCAACCCACAGGCGACAGGCATCCTGCTTGCCCCAGGAGCTGCCCGGCCACCAGAGGAACCCACTGGGCCGGTCCATGAAGCTCAGGCCATGGACAGCCAGGCTGCAGCCGCCAGGGGGTAAGCAGCCATCGGTGGCTTTGCCAGGACCCCTCACAGAACGTTCAACATGGGTCTGAGAGAAAAGATTTCTGAATCAAAACTTCTCTGTAATGTAGGGGGAAATAGAAATGGGGCTAATTCGAACTAAAACGGGTTGAATACCTGGGAAACAGCTTAATGTCAAATACACATGACGAACTGGCAATACCTTCAAAGTGACGCCTATCACGTTGACGGCCTCTCTCAGCTGCGGATGGTTCGTGCCCTGTGCAAGCTCTTCACAGATCCAGACCCCAAGGGAGCAAATGGCAATGCACCTTTTGAAAAAGAAGGAGACAAGGAGGAAAGCTCTCACGAAGAGATGCATTTTCTTGGTACTTTCAAATGACAAAATATTTTAAGCCTTGTGTACAAAGTACAAAAGTTACAGACACATTAACAAAATGTCTTCTTGAGAAAAAAGATAAGGTACCCTCAACAGACCGGTTTTCAGGACAAATAGAAATATTCATAATGGTTAGTAATTAAATATTTAATGAAATAAATGGTATATTTTCTTTTGTCACAGCACACGTATCACTTAATTTTGCTGGAACTAATTTTTTTATTACAATTTCTTGCTTCAGGATATTTCTGAGGAAGAATCAAAAGCATGACTCTTAGAAGACTGTTGGAAATTGAGTTTGTAATTGTTTTCCTTACAATAAAATACACAACACTTACCAAAAACAGAGGACAAATCCTATATTTTATCGTAAAGAATACCTGAGTACAACTTTCAAAATAAGTCTCACTGTTACTTCTTTTAAACAATGTGTTAAGACAAAATATTCTTTCAGGTGCATACTCCTTTAAAGATTACCTTTCTCAATTATAAGTCAAGATTGGATGGTAATTCTCTTTGGAATTGATACACTCTACTAATTTTTGCAATGATCAAAAAGTCACATTCTTCTGAATGTTTCCTGAATGCATGTATATGAAATTTAAAGGCTTGCCCCCCAACCTGCTCACTTTCTGAACAAAAACGGGCTTCAAACCACTACTTGGAACCAGATGCTTGCTGTAATATGTAATATGCCGTTCTCTGTAGCAGGAAGTCACATCCAGGGCCAGTCAAACCGGACACACGGCCCATCCCTCCACACTGAACGTCCCTTTGCCATCAGTATAATTCAGCAATTGAAATCAAGCTATTTTGAGGTTTTAAAACCACCACACTTCACTGGATTCTCACCTCTTTCGATCAGAATGGACTAAGTGCTGCCGAACCAGTTAAGTAAAACCCCTACGGCGACCGTGTCACCTTCTACCAAAACTCCCTCGGTAACAGCTGTGCTTTTACCTCGGTGACAAGGTGTGTGCCGGGCCTTTCTTGTTTCTCCAGCGCCGGCATTAGACGGAACTCCACACCTTCCTGACTGTCTAGAATTGTCTACATGTCTCTCTTCTCTTGCCCAATTCCTAGAAATTGCCCTTTGCATCTTAGTCTATAGTTATTCCCAAGAACTCTAAATTCTTTCCCAAAGCCTTTTTATCTTCCCTCAGCCGAACTCAGACTGATTGTTTGACCCATGAAAACTATACCACTTGGAATTATGCCCCAAATCATACTGTTACCATTTTAAGAGCTGCTCTTCCTTTGAGTGCATGTGTGTATATATATGTGTGTATATTCCTTTTTTTTTTTTTTTTTTTTACGACCCACTAACCTATTTGTTAAGTGTAATTTGTTAAGAGCTCTTGTTTCTAGGAACACCTGCATTTCTCTGTAACTATTAGCCTTGCACTATGGAGAATACTGTGACCTGTAAAATGGTTTTATAACCTAAGCTACTCTCACCTGCCTTGAGTTTTAAGCCACACTCGCTTATAACAGCTCTTCCTGCTATTTTCTCTCTTTGAAATTCATCATTTAACATCCTCATTTAGCATCTTCCTATTCTTACACTCCCAGTGACTCCTCATGTTCTCTATATCCCCAGGATGTCCTTTGTGATTACGAATGAGTTTTATCTATCAAGACTCTTTTTTAAGCTAATGGCAGTATTACCTTACTCTCAGTCTGTATTCCAATACACTCTCTTAATGCTGTTTGCTACTAGGCCATCTCATACCACTCCAATTTATATAACAAAAACTTCTTGTTTTTTCTTAATTTTTCTGAATTACTGTCACTCACAATTATAACTATATTCTCTCAATTCTCCTCCATGTATTTGAAATCTTGATCACACTGCAGTCTGCTTGCTTATCTACACTCACATGACCTTAATTTCATTGCCTAACTCCTTTCACACACAACTAAGAAAGACTGACCATATTATACATATTTCTATTCCACTTTTAACTCCACAGGAATTTGGTTTTCTACACTACAGGAAAAGAGGGAAGAAAGAAACTGCCAAGACTTGTTGAAGGTCTGAATGTAGCAGGTGCAGGTAAAGGAGAAATCAAGGATTTCCCCAGGTTTCTGAATTGACAGTCTGGGCAGATGATGGTGACAAGTACTGAGATGATGTCTGAGGACAGTTAGGCTCTGGGGTAGACAGCAGACTCAAGGCTTCAGTTATGGTTGTGTTAAGTTTACATGTGTTAAGACACCCACGTTGAGATATCAAGTAGGCAGTTTAATATAAAATCCTGAATATTTAAGGGGTTGACAGAAGGGGCCAGGAAAATAAATTCAGTATCATCAGCAAGCAGATGGTGTTAAAAAAGTCTGGTGAAATGAATAAGAGCACCTAGGAACGTCATGCAGAGGGAAGACAGCCAGCCCTAAACCCCGAGTCACTCTAACCCCCAGAGGTAGGTAGAGAAGGCAGACAGGAGAGGAACAGCTACAGTGACAGAGGAGCAAAATCAGAATATTACATTCTAAGGAACTGGCATCCTTCAGGAGGAGGATAAAGACAGACAAAGAACTAGTAAGATAAGTATGCATGTTAAAATTTCTAAGGCAGCCTCTAAAAGAACTGAAAGTCTATGACTTCTAAAAACACAGAGGTAATAAATGGAATGTGAAAAAAACACAATCACTCCCAAAAAAAGGAAGGAAGGAAGGAAGAAAAGGTGAGTGAAAAAAGATGAAGGTAAAAAAACAGGAGAAAATGAAAGAAATATTGAAAAAGACAAATAGCAAAGTATAAAATAAGATGGAAGAATTACATCCAAATAGATCAGTAACTACAGTAAATGCAAATGAACTAAAGCTTCAGTTAAAAGCTAAAGATCAGACAGGATAAACACATAAAATCAAGTATGTACAGTTTTTGCAAAGACATTTAAAAGAGAAGAATATAGAAAGGTTAAATTTAAAAGAAAATATTATTTAAAAATATAGCTGGGGCTTCCCTGGTGGCGCAGTGGTTGAGAGTCCGCCTGCCAATGCAGGAGACACGGTTCGAGCCCTGGTCCGGGAAGATCCCACATGCCATGGAGCAACTAAGCCCATGCGCCACAACTACTGGGCCTATGCTCTAGAGCCCGCGAACCACAACCACTGAAGCCCACATGCCTGGAGCCCGTGCTCTGCAACAAGAGAGGCCAACGCAATGAGAAGCCCGCGCACTGCAATGAAGAGTAGCCCCTGCTCTCTGCAACTAGAGAAAGCCTGTGCGCAACAACAAAGTCCCAGTGCAGCCAAAAATAAATAAATAAATTAATTAATTAAAAAAAAATAAAAATATAGCTGAATCAGTATCAGACAACTGGTCTTTAAGATAAAAAAATCACCCTTAAAGATAAAGAGGTCACTACATAAATATAAAATATTTGATTAACTACAGAGATAGGATAATTTTACACTTCTGTGCAGCTAATAACATAGCTTCAAAATATATAAAACAAAAATTGACAGAAATACGAAGAGAAATCTATAAGTGCACCATAAAATTCGGAGATTTTTAACATATCTTTCTCAGTAAATGATCTAGATGATGAAAAAAATAGAAAGAATATGTAATATTTGAAACACATGATTAAAAAAATTAATCTAATGGACACATCTAGAACACTACACCCAACAACTGAAGAAAAGTATATACATTCTTTCAAGCATATATGGGACATTTGCAAAAACTGACTACATATTGGACCATAAAGCAAATCTCAACAATTCCGAAGACCAACAACATTTTTGATCCACAATGCAATTAACTAAGACATCAGCAGCATAAAGATAAATAGAAATAACCATATTTTTGGAAATTAAGAAATATATTGCTCAATAAATCATGACTCAATGAAGGAATCATAATGGAAATTGGAAAAACTTTGTAATGCAAACATATTACATATCAAAACTTAAAGAACTCAGACAAAGTAGCACCTAGAAATAAACATATGGACTTAACTGTTCATATTTGTATAAAAGAAAGGCTGAGAATTAATATACTAAGTATACAACTTCAAAAGTGAGAAAAAGAATTATAGAACGTAAAGAAAGTAGAATGAACATTAAAAAAAGAGCAGAGAGTAGAAAATTAAAAACAAATATAGAATAGAGAGGTTGAACAAAGACAAAAGTCTCTTCTTTGAAAAGACCAATAAAACTGACAGATATCTGGCAAGACTAGTGAGAAAAATCAGAGAACACACAAAAAGTATCAGAGATTAAAAAGTGCTTATAGCTATAGAAGTGAAAGAGATAAAAGATAGCAAAGGGATAATGGAAACACCGTGGATGCCACAATGTTTCAAAACTTGGAATGGACAAGTTTTTAGAAAATTTTAGTTTATCTAAAAACTGTCAAAAACCTCTTCCTTAAAATCATTGAAGAAAATGAGTCAGTGGTGAACCTTCTTATAAAGAAAATACCTTGATAGTTTTACTATCAAGGTCTAATAAATAAATACACAAGACCATCAAGTCCAATTTTACAAAAACTCTTGCTGACTGAACAGAATGAAACAGCACTTCGCTCATTTTGTGAGACTATATAAGCTTGTAATCAAACCTGACAAGGACAGGATGGGGAGAGAAAATTAAAGGCCATGAACATAAATGCAACTTTCCTGAACAAAATGTTAGTCAAATCAGATCCACTGCTGTGTAAACCAAGTTGGGTTTATCCCCCAATGCAAGGTTACTTAGTATTATCAAATTGATCATGAATTTACAGCTTCTGGTAATGGCAGACTAGAAAACTGTGACTAAACCGTCCACTGGAGGTAAGTGAAGAAGTTAGACAAAATACAAAAGAAAAAACCCTTGAAAATGATCGGAGAGCTAACAAGTCAGTGCAAGTGCCCGCTGCTCGCTGCTCGCTTGGAACCGGCCCGGAGGGAGCAGGACACGAGCAAGAGGTGGAGCTGGGCTTCTGGTGACCTTACAAGCTTGGAGGTTGAGGATCAGAAACTGCTGTGCCCGCCACCAGTGCTCCCAGCTCCGGGCCTCACCTGGGGAGAACAGGTAGGAACTTTTCACTCTGTACGTGCCCCAGAAAACCTCCTATCTTGGCCACAGACTGCCAGCAACCTCAGGTGCCTGGTGGAAGCAACCAAAACGTTTCCAGACATTGCTGAATGTCTCCTGGGATACAAAATCACCGCCGATTGAGAATCACTATCCTGTAAGTACACCATTTTTATAAGTTTTGGTTTATCCTTCCATTTTCTTCCTTGTTAAAAATATCAGGGAATACACCTATGTACTCACAATCTTGCTTTTTCTTACACAACAGGTAGCATATGCTACACACAATCATCTACACCTTGTGCTTTTCACTTAATGATGGTACCTTTTAAAAAATTAATAAAGCATTTTCCCCACATAATGCTTACTGTACTTTTTAGTGTAAGAGTAATGTGAAAGAATAAGTATTTTTAACGTCAACTGATTACACATGAATGTGTATCTTAAAATGCTAAACTAGTTTACCTTTTATTTAGCATTTACCTTGCACACTCATTTGGTTCCTCTGTGGCATTCTTCAGTAAAATACTCATGAGGTACTGCTAAAAACACAAAATGGAGTAAAATAAAAACCTTGTTTAGCAGTTGATTTTCCACATGTTCTGTCCTCATTCTAGGCAGTGAGGGGCCACTGAAGGACTGGGGGAAGGACACAAGGGGCTCAGGGGAGCAGCATGGTGGTCTCAGCCGGGGGCTCGCAGGGCTTTGAGCCTGCCTAGGGAAGAGCG